TTACAAGTGAAATCGCATCTAGCGACAAACTAATGTATAATGTAAGACTTGAGAAGGAAACTAAATTATAAATTAAAGTTGCATATCTCATTCTTCAACAAACCCGTCAACTATATATCCCCATAATATATTGAAACATAAACGTCTTCGTCAACGCAAAAAGCACTTGATAACACTTGCCACTCTAACTCACTGTCCACAAAATGAATATTTTCCTTTGAGTATTTATACTTAACACCATCACCCTTTATTTTACCGCCGGACAAAACAATATTTCCTCCAAGATCTGTACCCACGATGCTGTTCTTTTTATTCGAACTCTTAAAATTCTTTTCCGATAATACGTCCACTAAATCTCTTTTTGGATCAAATTGGTGCGGGTGATACAACACCTTGCACTTCTCGTTCAACTCATGACCATAATTTTGTGCCACGTAATGCTTGAACGAATCCAAGGTGACGCCGCACGGTACTTTGACATCTATGCAGTAATCCGGATTCTCGAAGTTAAAGTAGACTTTGAATTTAAGGAATTTTAGTGGACAGGAAAATGATACGGGACGCTCCCCGGTCTTGGAGGAATTTGTAGCAATGTTTAGTGGTTCGTTCATCACAGGAAGCTTGGCAAGATACCTGGCTGGGTGTTTTGGCGGTCGGGTCATCGGGTGGCGTGTGCGGGGTGAGTCAAAACGGGTTATAGAGGCACGTCGGCGATTGAGAGAAGGTCTACGTCGAAAATTATGAGTTTCTCGCTTATTATGACGCTCATGCTTTTTCTCGGAGTCTTTGTTCTCGTATGTTTTCTCGAATATCAGATGCGTTTTTTCATATACAAACTGAGTTCTCTCCATCGATACTTGATAATTTGATTCTCTTTCGGATGACTTTTCCAAGAACAATTGCGTTCTCTCCATTGAAACTTGATATTTCGACTCCTTTTCCGAAGATTTCTCTTGCGTCTTCTCAGACTTCTCTTGGGTCTTTTCTGATTTCTCCTGCGTCTTCTCTGGTTCCTCTTGTGTTTTCTCGGATTCCTCTTGTGACTTTTCTGATTTCTCTTGCGTCTTCTCTGATTTCTCTTGTGTCTTCTCTGATTTCTCTTGTATCTTTTCTGATTTCTCTTGCACCTCTAATTTCTCTTGCGTCTTCTCGGATTTCTCTTGTATCTTCTCGGACGACGATTCTCTCACAAGCGAAACATCAGAATTCAGATCCTTTGGGTCAATTATGATGATCACTTTCTTGAACACCTCTTCTTTACCATCCTTCGAAGCCAAACAAATTGACCTCTTAAATAACTTCTTGATGAATCGTTTAACACCTGATTTTTTTGTGTGAACCTTTCCGGGAGGAATTTGTTTCGAAGGTTTGGATGAATTCAAGATGATTTGGGTCAACATTTTTTTACGAAAATTAAAGAAAAAAAAGAAGTGTTTGTGAGAAAATGAGTAAAGTCAAAATTGAAAGTTGGTGGATTTTAAAATATCGCTTAAATGTTTCGAGCCCAAGTTCCGTGAATCCTTAAAACAAATGTTTGTTGGATCTAGGAACTCTAAATTCTGTAATCACTATTAGCGAGCGGTCGATTTTCCTCATGCCCGTCGGGCACTTATATACACTTCTTAGATCGCGCTTTTTTATCAATGAACCTCCTTTGCATATCATAATTTTTCAGGACCTACCATGTAACACTGTAATCGTAAGTAAGTTAACACAATATAAGGCATTCTTCATCGATCCGAAGTGTGATCGTTATTATTTAATTAAAAAAAGAAAATTAAAGAAGAGAAAAGAAAATAAATCCGAACAGAAAAAGATATATGTCGTAAGAAGGAATTCAAGAAATAAAATAAAGTAAAATAGAGAAGAAAAGGGTAGCTCTATCAATGGAACAATACAAAGCAGGAATACGCACCGAAAGAAAAATCGCGCAAAAAAAGAAAAATATGTAGGAAGAAGGGAAATTCAAAACGGATTAAAGAAGAACCAAACACAAATACAGTAATAACTTGACAGAGCAAAAAGATGTCGGTTTTAGATTACTAAGGATTTAAATTTTTTTAAGGAAACGCATTGCTTGCATAGCTGATGAGGGTACGTATATTACTGATGATTGATTGAACCCCTTGGTTTTATTTTTAACTTTATTACTTTATTTAAATTACTATAGCAATATTTATTACATTCCAGATTGAATTGATATCCTGGGTCTTAACAACGATCATCATCACGAAAAAAAAAAAAAAGGCATTATAAAGGTAATTCATGCCATTACGGATTTATTGATTAATATTCTTACGATCATCGTATTTCATACTATCTCGGTGATTTTACTATCGCTCCAGAAAAATATATACACGCTGAAGGAAAAAAAAGGCGTGCTGTCATCATGTCATCGATTTAATAAACAATTATGTAGTGCCCGATTTCTTCTAGCGTGCGATTGGTCGACCGATCGAACTATGATGGTTAACCTAGAATTTTTGGAAATTCGGTAATTGAATTGTATAAAAAACCAATCCATAAATGTATTTGAACTATTTAGTAACACGAGGTTAATTTAAACTCGAACATCAAGGATACCCTGGTTCTTAGCTAATCAGGATTGAAGATCGATCAAAGTTTTGAAATGTGTGAATGATTTGAAATCTCAAATTAGAAGAATAGTGATGACCCAGATGCACCTCGTGGTTTGTTTAATATTCTCGCGTGTACCATTACAATCAATTCATTCCCTCGAGTCTGTCATATTGTGGTTTTAAAAAAACTCCGAGGATCGGACATATCAATAGAAACAAACTACCAGTAGTGGTGTTTGATGCGATAAACAAATACAGTAGTACATAGTGAGATCATTGTTATACACACCATACCCATCATTTGGGAATCTTCTGACGATGATCTTTGGAAAGATCGAAGATTT